ATATTTTATGTTAGAAGGATATTACGAGTTCGAACATACATCAACTGACCAATAGAGCACAAGTAGACAGGAGATATATTGCTCCAAATAAATTCAATCTACTTTTTTCCATGTAGCATGAAGTGGGGCAGATTTTCGACGGAAACAAGGGCTAATACAGCTCACCCACTGTCTCGCATTAAGATGAATAGTTCTCATGATTGCAGTCATAGTTCGCGACATCCGAGCCCGCGCGCCCGACGAAATGAATAACGACCAACACATCTTAAACAATCCCTGAATCGAACTGCCCAGTTAATAATTTCAGCTCAACTATACATGAAAGCTCCAACAATGTAGGTAAATTCACTTGAAAGGGCCTCGCCGTGAGTTCAGATTAAAATTCTTGTCCGGGGAACTCTAATTGGATTAAAATCCCTATTTCATGCGTTCGCGCACCCCCCGCCCTCCTTTTGTGCGTCCCTCCCTGCCTTCTTCCAATATCGCCCTCTACGCAGAACTTTACATGGCCGAGCGCTACGGGCCGCGGTGCATGTCTTGTCAATATTTCAAATGCGCATACTGCTTTAATGGATTATAAAGCGACGAGATTTATCACGAAAAAGTTGTCTTGCGGCTCACAAAAAGCTCGTTTCATTAACGTAAATTGTTCAGTTTTCATCGAGAATTGGCAAAACGGTCGTGCGGCATAAGAATTCCTCATAACCGTTATACTTCCACGATACATTGACCTTCTTACATGCTCTATGATGTGCTATACTTATGAATATTGCCCGTTCCGCCATTAATCAGCGAATTAAAGTCTTTTGATGACCGCCGCGATTATAAATTTACAATCGTTGTCGAAAATTTATCATGCGCCGGCATTTGAGCTCGGATTTTTATCACTGAGAGGATGCACTTGTGTCCCGGATTATTTCGCTGACTCTGACGCAATTACATACAAATTTAAAGGCTGACCTTTGACAATCATTTAGCAAGCGATGAATCCGCAGAACTTGATCCCTCTTGATAAGCATTTAAAAAATACCATCGTACGCGGCCCGAAAAGGGTTTTTTCACGTAGTAATCGAAATTTAAATAAATTTAATATTCAATTTTCCAAAATTCTCATTGCATAAGATTATGCAAAACTCCTGCTCAATGCGACTAAATTTAGACCCAACAAACATTTTGATTACGCAGATTGTTTTAAGAGGGGAAAAAATGTAGCTAAGAACGTTTTGATGTTAAGAAGAACTATGTACAAGTGAATAAAATGAAAAGATACTCTATCGTTACAAATATGATAATAAAATCCTGAGTGCACTTCATTCCGGAGGTTATTTTTCCCTTAAGGGTATGGGGTAGAATCTACCCTCTAGTGAATCATCATAGTTCAATCAACTTTTTTTAAGCAGAATTGGCTTCGCTCTTCTTGAGGCCACTTTAAAAGGCGCTCTCTGGCGCTCTGCGACACCTAGTCGCCAAAGTCTCTTATCATCCCGAAGCCCTTAAGGGAGTTGGCATTCCCTCATTTCCTCTAAAACCTCCTATCGCCACCTTTTCACTTGACCCTTCGTCTCCTCCCAGGAGCATCTCAATCAAGCATCTTAGCTTCAGTATTCCTTATTTAAGTAATTTGAGTTGTCTTATAGAAAAACTGGATCCGGATTTCACTCGAAACAGCACATAAATCCCTTGAAGAAGTTTCTTTTTCAACAGATTCATCTATAATTTTTTTTTTTTTAAACATAACAACGTCCACATGTCCTCATTATAACTGCATATAATTTATGTAGCGTTTTTTCTCCTTCCATAAAGGAAATCTTCTTGACACATAGCTTGCAATTAAGTTAAGCCATAGGCAACGGAGACTATTCGAAAACGGTGAGTAAACCACCTACAACGCGAGACCTCGAGATTTCATTAAGATTAAAACAATGTTGTCCCACACGAATGACAAATCGATGACGGCTGTTGACAGGCTGATTTGTCATTTTTTTCTTTTTCCTCGTTTTTAGGAGTGCGCGACGCATGCAGATGCAGTGTGGGTTATTGGCTTGGCGCCACTCGTGTACCGGCCCCATCGGGAGTCGTGAGAGAGAGACAGAGAGACTGGACTGGGCAAGACGATTGGGCGAGAAGGAGACGGAGGTTTTGGATTCGACAAATCGCGAGATCTTACAGCCAAGGTTGCAATCGTGACTAGAAATCAGCCTACTTTGCTTCTGAACCGTTATAACTTAGACAAAACTGAAGTATCGAATAGTGAGTATTATGTACTCGCAGTTGTCAGAAAATCAGTTATTTCAATGGGGAGGATAATTTTTTTAAGCGAGATTAAACGCAGTTTTCATCGCAATTAAAAAACAGGAGTAGTATCACCGGATTTTAAGGAAAATTTAAAAGAACAGCTATGTAAATACATAGTTTTAGAGGATTGTAATGGTTTTTGGAGAGAGGAAATTTTTGGTCAAATCGGTTTATTCCCTTGGCAGAGACTGTAAGTACACAACGATTACATTAGACCATTATTGGAATCTTGGATTTTTTTACATTGGCTCATTCTGTCACGCAATCGTGGAATTTATAAATACTTTGACTACGGGACTGCCCACGGAAAAAAGGATCTTACCCATTAACTTATCATTGAGTTAGTAATACGGGAAAACGGTGGACTTTTCAACGAAAATTTGGAGGCAAAATAGTCAACCGCAAGTAAAACCAAGCCAGATATGACGGTTTGAACAATGCAATTAAAATTAATGGACAATTGATGGAAAAAACATAATTATGTAGATTCGATTTTTTTTATTTATTTTTTTTATGATTTACCATACCTGGGCATAAAGTTTCCGAACTATAATGCAAATTAACCCCCTTAATTTACTGGCTCAAAAATGAACAAAACTACTCCCAACTTATTCCTGGATGGAGCCCGTCGGGATCTTAAAATCTAATTTTTGGACCGTCTCGACAGAGATCGATCCACTGAATACAGTATATCACCATGGACTAAACCTAGAGACAAGAGACCCTCCATTGGCCTCTTGGCGACAGGTGGAAATTTTTACTTTTGGGGATTCAACAGTTCCTTATGAACAGTTATAAGGGAGCAACAGTCATCACTCTTTTCTCGTCTGTTGACCTACCTACATGGTAAATGATGAAAATCGGGTGACGTCACGAGCAAAACAACTATCCCAAACTTCGACTTGTTTGGAAAACGGAACTGCCAACACGTTGTTGAACATCAACCATGTAGGTAAGTTAACAGTAAAATGTCCCGAAAGTAAAAGATTCCACCAGCCATCGAGAGGCCAGTGGAGAGTCTCTTGTCTCTGACCAAGCCTCGCAAACGGCCACAAATTCTTATTCAGTACTATTTTATTTTTGTTTTTGTAGGTTATGTGGCAACTTTTGATGGGATGGCGGACGTAAGTGGTCCGCCTTTAACGTCCGTAAATCGGTCAGACGTCCCGATAACGTCTGGCGCGGGCCGGGCGTCCAGCGTTTCACTTGGAAAAAGTCGCGACGACTGCCAAGACGGAAGTTGCAACTTGTCATAACTCCTTTTTTTCTGATTCTACTTGTCAAATAATATTTGTAATTGCTTGCCCGCTCCGGCCGGGCCGGCCACTTCGAGGGTCGCCCGTCCAGAAGCGCACAGTGGATCGAGTCAATGATACGAGAAGTCGGACAAGATTTAGAAACTTCAAACGCTTATAACTCCGTTTATACACAACTTTAAAGTTGTAATAGTGGCTCCATTGGTTTCCTCGTGAAATTTTCTTCCACAAACACCCCTCAAAATTCAAAATGTGACGAATTAAACATTAAAATTTGCATCTTCAGTAAAAAATTTCATGTCCAACCGCTCTGATCGACTCGATCCACTGTGAGGCGTCTCGTCGCTTTAGCCGATTGTTTTTGACCCGCTTTTGCGGCCCCTTCATCTCCTCGCTCCTCTATCCAAAAGGGCGTAACTGCTCTTTAAGTTGAGCCCTACTGTCCTTGTAACTCTATGCCTTGCAGGGCTCACGTGAAGATCTAGATACGACGTTACTTCATGGGTACGAAGATATAATGCCTTGCTAATCATGAACCGCGTATCTTCCATGAGAGCGCTTTACAGATATGCGGTTCTTGCTCAACAGGGTGCAAGATCCTGGCGCTTGCTCACTGGGCGGGAAATTTAGCGCCGGCCTGTCACATTTGTGCTTCTTGTTTCTCTTCAGACCGAAGAGGATTGGTTCGAAACGAGACCTAGATTGCCTCTAAGTATGCTTGATCAGTACTTTTTATGCTAGTTTTAACATCATAGTTGGACGTATTTCTGCCCAACGGAACTATGTGCATTATGACGTGAACCCTGTTATGCATATATTCGTATGGGTATGGGTCTCAAGGCTCAGGTCTTAATGCACGTAATTCCGTTAGGCAGAAATACGTCCAGTTGAAAAAAGAAAAAAAAGGGCATACTTTTTAGCAGAGTATTTTTTAAAGTTGCGATCAGGAGGATTTCCGCTTGAGTTAAGAATAAAATTGCTCGATGGGTGTTTTTTCTACTTATTTGGACATGGCTTTGTGATACAATCAATTATTAACTTTCGAGAGGCTAAAATTGCATAACCACTAAATTGAAGGTGCTTTTAGTTCCTCGTTAATTTGACGGAAACTTGAGAGAGTTATTGAGAATGATGTAAAACACTATGATAGCAAAAAGGGAGGGGAAGAACCATTCTCGAAGGTTACTAACTACATTTTTGAAAAGTTTATGTATGAGATTGTTATCAAATAAACATACTGTATTTTCTGAGTATTATGATCGATGATGTAACACAAATATCTGGTAAAAAAAATGTAATATGAATACAAAAAATTCTGGAAAGGTACAATTTCGAAATATGTTTTTGAGCTCAACCTACCGATTGGCAAAAAACATGTATAAATTAAATTTTTTAAAACACTTATGGTATAAAATGCGTATCATAAATAAAATAATAAGAGAAACTCACCGTGGCTGTTAATAAAGTTGGCTAAATAGAGATCGAGCTCCCTGACTGATACGTTTATATGGTAGGGATTCACGCATAGACTAGGATGAGAACAATCAGGAGACTTTTCTAACCGCTCTCCATCTGTACTTTCTAAAGGGATTGCTTTAAATAAAATAACCATTACTAAGTCCAGCCGCCAAACCTGGGAACAAACAAATTCAATAAAGTGAAAAATATGCATAATTAGTCGGAGTTTTTGATTGAGCAAGACATTCAAAGAACATTATGTCAAAATGCGATCATTATAATGACCTAATCGATAGTATATCCGCACAAAATGAAGGGAAAATGTTTCCTTCTTAGACTTTTACAAAAATCAGCGTGCGCATTTTGAACATTCTCGAATCGAAATCAAAACGAAGAGATAGTAAAAAAAAAGCTGACGGAATCGACGGAACTAACTTTGAGCGCCAAATTAAATTTAGAGGACAACTTAGACTGATCCATGAGTTTTCACTATGCCAGATTTTTATTTGTATTATTTTTATTGCAAATAACTTTTCTTGAGGTGGAAAAGGAATTTGCATAGGAACTGACTTTGGTAAATTTCTGTAAAAGTATAGCTTCGTCTTTGGGAGGTGATACTTTGTTCCACTTCATTTTAGTTTTTTTGGCGAGTGATAACATTAAATTGGTAGTTGAATTGGTCGACTAAAACCTCTAAGATTGAGTTGACGTTGAACATTTCTAGTAAGCCTGAAATATTTCCTCATAGATAAAAAATAATAAAGCGACAAATATTGTGGTTCTGTAATTTTACGTTGTCTACTAGTACTCCAAAAATAAGAAAACGTATTGAGGTTGTAAAACTATACTATCAGAGTTTGTCCATAAATGTTTGAAAATAATGGGACATTTGAAAATAACAGGGATGTTGAAGCAAAACAGCAGCCGTTAAATACCCAGTCAGTATTTACGTAGTTTGATGAGGTGCTCGTCGGTGGTGGCGCTCGGATTGACATTTCTCCGAGTCAAAGACCCTTTTTTTGCTTCAGTTAACAAACCAGAGTAGCTATTAGGAGGATGATAATGAAGAAGGTCACAGCCACAAAGGTTGCTCAAATATCACCCTCCAATTCTTTCCCCCTTCTAGGCTCACAAGCATAGTGACTAGTAAGACACTTGCTCTGAAATGAACCTGACCATGAAAAATTGAAGAAAGAGAATTTTTCAACTTATAAAGTTGCATGAAGTATGAAAGTTACTTCGAATGCTCGAAAATCCGACAGATCAAGTATCTGTTTGGAAAATGTTAATACTGACAGCTCAACCTATGTTGAACTCCAATTTTAGTATGAGAGGGAGTAGAGAAAGAAAAATAGACTGCAAACTAACAATTCATGGTTGAAGCTAAGTTGAGGTTTCGGCCGTATTCTGGAGAGGAGTCCCTAAAATTTTAAGTAAAGATCTTGGTGGTATATACGGATGAATACCAAGCAATAAGAAAACATTTATGAGCGTTTTGAAAAAACGAGTTATGTGCGATAGTTCCGGGCTGCGCTGATCTATAATGTGCCTAGGGACCCAATAAGATATTAAAGGGGAGCAACTACAGAAAAAACGGAATAAAAGAGAAATACTTGTGGCCTCAAACCATCACATTTGACAAAAACGATTGTCTTCTAAGATTGTAGGCTCATTTTAAGAATACCAAACATGGTTAAAATGGACAAAATTTTGCATAAGAAAACACAATTTCTGGCTTATCCATTTAAGGACCTACATGTGTGGAAGAAACTAATGGCACGAATGTTATTTCTAAAATAAGCAGTGATGGAAGCTTTTTACTGTAAAATGTAGTTCATAACTCGATGCAAAGTAAGTGGAAATTCCTTAACCCTTTCTCTGAGTCATGCGTTTGTTCCTGGGTTTCAACGTGGATACTGTAACTCTACTGCACCGCAGGCAGTCCGAAATTCCCCATAAAAATGACAACGCCTGTCGCGTTTGTTTTACGTTACGATGTAATTAAATCCGTTCCGTGTTCATCACGGCTCCGCGACGCGGCGTGTGCGCATGCGCTAACGATTCGATCCCCCGAGAGCCGTTTTCAGCCCAGCACAATCAGCCCCACTATTCTCCTGCCGGGGTTTTCTCACTGACGCACCATTCACTCAATGCTTAAAACTTGCTTAAATGGCGTAAATTCTGCCGACGATTGTGACGTTGCCGCTTCCATTGCGTAATGGTCAAAAGTTAGCAAAATTAGTTAGGCCTTGTCGCCACGGGACGTTTTCATGGGATTTGTCCCCAGTTCGAATCGCAGGAATGAAACTTCTGGTATTTTTCCCAGTTACCGTCTCCACGGGACGAGGCTCATACGGTCCCGCGACTAGTTTGCGCGGGAAGATAAATTAGACGAAGTCCGAGTATTTAACCGAGATTAAAATGATAATTGCACTCAATTGACAATTAGACACATTATTTTAACTAAACAAACATGAACCATTGGAGTAATCAACAAATTATCGCACAATTCGTTTTCACTTCTTCTTCCTCTCCCAGTGGGTCCCAGGGGTACAAGGACCATACTTGGTGCTGCGAAAAGTATTGATTAACTCAATATTTTTCCCAACTTCGTAAGTGGGATTTTTCCCTGGGACAAATCCCGAGAAACGGCCCGTGAAGACAAGGTCTAACATAGCATCATAGGAAGACCAATTTTAACAGACTTCGAGTGAAATTCAGAGGAAAAACCATGGAATGGGGTCTTTGAAAGGGATTACAATGATTTACTCGCTCCAAAGAATTACAGAATAGAAAAGAAAACGCACTGCGAGTTTTGTAAATTATTTGAAGGTAGGTTCGTTCTTATCAAAAGCTTCATTCCGTGGTTTGTGCTTTTAGCAATGTCAAACCATTGCGAGCTCTCGCAACGGCCCATTATGCTACGCTTAACTACTCTAGAGGTTTGCAAATTGCTCTCATTTAAGTACGTTAAGGATGTCCCTGAACCTCCCTTAATCACAGTGAAAACCAAATGACGCTTCCTGCGAGAAGTAGCGATATACAGACCAAATACGAACATAGGTGGATCCAGATGCTTGGGAGGGGGGGGGGGGGGGGGGGGTAAAGGGCGTCCAGGGGACTTTTGCTAGAAAAGTTTTACAATTTTGAAGCATCTAACATGCAGTTTGAGTCAATTTCGTCATGAATATTTACTAAATATGAGCGTCATTTCCTCTTCTTTCCTCCATTTCTTCCTTATTCCTTTCTTCCTTTTCTTGACCTCCTTTTTCACGCGGGAACGGGGAACGTTCAACCCCTACGCCCATTCCCCCTGGGTCCGCATATAGTGTTCAAAGCATGGATATGAATACGACCTTACGGCTCATGCCAATAAACCATAAGTGGTATTATCAGAGTACGGAGCCAATTTCGGAAGGACTGTGGAGTGTGAACAGAGCCCTTGTTTCACACTCGACGGAATTTGCAACACGGCGCCGTGCAACTGGCGGCGGTGGTGCGAACGGGGCGCAGAACGGTCGCGTCACACGCACGGCCCGGCCTTTACGAGGCGAGATTTACGCGTGCGATCCCTCCTCGGGGCCCGAGAGACAGGAGTGACGATTTAAACGGTTTGTTTGTTCGCTTAAGAGCACTGCGCCGTCGCCGTCAACGTCCCGTCCGGATCCTTTAGCGAGCTGCGCTTGCGCCGCCCGGCGAAAAAGAGGCAAAAATACGAGGACAGGCCAAAGAAACGGCCTCAGTTCATCACGGGTACCAACTCATAGCCACACGAGTCGGCCGGGAGCCACATTGTTGCCGCACCGAAACAAGTCAGCTGCACCGCTGGATGGGCTAAGAAATTAAACACCACGATACACTTGGTTTCTCATTGAATTCAAATGTAAAACATACTGGAAGTCGCTAGAAATTCTGAATGCAATGCTTTTGTTGCTAACTTCAGCTGAAATATAAAAAAAAAAGAATTATTTCTTCTAAGGAATGGCTCAAAAATTACGATGATCGTCTAGGGAAAGGCTGGAATACACTCCTGACTTCACATTCTGCTTGAAAAATATGCGTTTTGTCAAGCTTCTCGCTTCAAAAACGATGATACGCCACAGGTGAACTTTCGTAAGGAAAGTCGTTCTATCCAACCATTGCGCACTAGGATCAGAGCCAGGATACCCACCCTCCACCAGAATCTTGGCAATGGTGGAAGCTTTTACTTTCGGGACTTCAACATTGAACTGTTGACTTACCTTCATGGTTGATGTTCAACAATGTGTTTACAAACAAGCCGAAGTTTGGGAAACTCGTTTCGCTCATGACGCCACCCGAAGCTCATCGTCCACCATGTAGGTAGGTCAACAGCCGAAAAAAGAGTGACGACTGCTGCTCCCTTAAAATTTTCTATGAGGAAGTGTTGAATCCCCGAAAGTAAAAGCTTCCACCTGTCGCAAAAAGACCAGTGGAAAGTCTCTTGTCTCTGAGAGTACCAATGTGACGGAAGAATACGGACGTGTCAGGTAACTTTCGAGGTTGGGTCATGGAGCTTGGAGGGCCTGTCTCAAAAGGGCAGACAACCTATACCCTCCCTATATAGGTATTCTATGTCAAACAAAACGCCCGTAATGTTGAATAGTCGGAAAGAACGTAATTTAAATGGTTGAGGGTACAGTACCTATATTGAGAGAGTATGGCCACTGGGCCCCATGGGGAGGCTTAGGACCCAAAAATGGCGGTGCTTTGTTTTGGTTTTTGTGGATGGGAGAGGGGTCATTGCCAACTTTTGACGGTTTTCACCAACCGCACTTGCTGCTAACCTCACTACATCTAAGATAATTTTTCTCAAAAACTGCACACGATTACCCTTAAAAATATGTAAAGAAGTCGCAATAGTGCATTTGGGTAAATTTCTCGTTACGATAAGCAAAGAAAACTACATTTTGAGTCATTTTGCATTTCATTAATTTATGGCGTCCGCCATTTTTGGGTCCTGAGGGCTCCATTCAGCCTAAGATGGCTGAGCCAATCAGAGGTGGTAACACCAGTGGCCATACTCTCTCAATATAGGTAGGTACTCTAGTTGAGGGGTAGAGAGACTGTCAAAGAGACAGTCTCTGGACCTGTCTCTGATCTTATCCAGCCTTTGTCTTAGCATTGTCCTTGCATTAAAAAACACTCGATTTGGCA